AACGGCAGTGGGCTTAGGCGTTCACGAAGACGAAGAAGCAGACGACGACGAAGCAGACGACAAAGCGATTCTAAAGCGATAAGACGACTGAAACTGCTTTCCTGCACTTGCTGAGGAAAGTAAGGCATCACAAACAAGAGAATCTTACGAAGTAAAAACATAAAAGAGAATCAAGGTGATACCGGGGCGTGCCAAATGATAATCTATGATGATGTACGTACTCGCAGCCGTATGTAGCCGGAGAGCCGGGAAGGCATGACTACAAGTTGCATGGCGGCGGCACCAGTTCCGGAATGCGCGCGCCTGCGCAGTTCGCTTGGTGACATCGGTCTATTGCGCTATCTCTCTCGCCACCTATGATACTTTTGTCAAGGTAGAGGCAGGAAAAGCTGCGCAACTCTCCCCTTCTTTGCGTCAATAGAACTTGTCGCTTTTGCCGCTGAGTGCCATTTTGGCGTGAAAAAAATATCCATTATCACGCTAACTTCTTCTTCTTCGCAGATGAGATTTAATTGCAACACGAATCAATTTCGTTTCGTCTTCCTTTGCGAGCGCTATACACGCGTAATAGCTGAATAAAGGTTTTTAGAAGGCCACCAGAAACGCCTCTTGATTTGCAGATAACTGGCGCCGGATATTTTCGGCAAAGGAAAACTGTCGCCGTCTGTCTTGTTATTCCGTTCCAACAAAACAAACGACTTACAGACATGGCTTGCGGACATGACGAGTAGACGTAATCAAACATTTTTCTCGCAGCGGTTAGAAAAAAGTAAATTTTAAGTTATAAAGAAGCGGCGCTTCTTAAAGAGGCACTGACACGGGGAAAAAAAAAAGCCTAGATGGGACACGTATAAAAAAAAAAATTCACGTTGAACAAAACATAAAAAAATTATTTACGCTGCTAGACACGATTTAGGCGGAGAAAGTGAAAGTAGAAGCCCGCTAAACCCCGCTTCGTGCTGCTTACACCGTGCTTACATCTCTCATTGGCTGGAGAGATGACTGACGTGTGAAATGTGGGCTGTGTAATGATTGCTCCGTGCTGTAATAGTATTTCAATCAAGAATATTTTTATGTTTAAAAAAAAATCTAGTTAGAGTCAATATTGTTTTTAAAAATATCCTGAGATCGCCTTTTTCACTTTGGTTTGAATTCGTTTGAAATAACAACAAACATGGCTGGCAGCGTTGACAAGGAGCGTAGCTCCTTGAGCTCGTGTGTTTTTGTGAGCGCGAGTCGCTTAAGGGGTATTCACACGCGCGCGCGCGTATCACGAGATGAAAACGCGAGGCTTTAGCACATCACTAAGCCCGACGTTTTCGTCGTGGGATGCGCGTGCCGGGGAGAAATCCCCGGGATTTCTCCCTCGTGTGAATACCCGTTTAGCGTTCACCCAGGTGTTTAGAGGAACATCTCTTCAATCGACGTATTTTGCAGCAAACAACTGTCGCAAGTGTATACGCGCCTTCGGAAACTCTGTGCGGGTGCTTGTTTTCGTAGTGGGACTGTCCTAAGCGTAGCGTCCCACGTCAACTAGTTTGCTTAATCTGGCTTGATTTGTTCGTTTGCCCGTGTTGATGCTAAATAAAGATGTTGGTTCCCGTAAAAGCGGCCCTACAGCTTTGTGAATTGTGCGACTGTCATGATTGCGACCGTGGTTTCAATACCGAGAAGATAGCTATAGAGGTAAAATTTGCGAGCCATTTTGCTGGAGGCAATCGGGAGTTCGCCTCGCATCAAGTTTGCCCAGATATGTTTACGTCATTTCGCTTCGGAAGGCAGGTAGCTATCAGACTTTGCAGCGCACCTGGTTTGCCAAAGGGAACGAATATCTTTTAGGTCGCGTTTTAATTGTCCGTCATGACTCTCGCCCACCTTGTTCGCGGACGGTATGCAGGTAAACAGACCAGAAAAATGAAAGCCGTTTACAACTCCCTGTAACGCCGTATTAGAGCGCAGCTCGTGAGGAGGAGGAGGGGAGGTACGGAGAGGAGAAAATGCCCCTCCTCCTCTCCGTACCCCCCCCTTCTCCTCTCCTGCTCGCCTCCCATTTAACGGGAAATTTTCGCTACATTTGCTGTTTAGCGGGGAATTTTTTCCGCTAGCGCGAAATATTTTCTGCTATATTTAGCGAGGAAGTGTTTTTGCTAAATTTAGCGGGAAATGTTTTTCCGCTAAAGTTAGTGGGGAATTTTTTCCGCTAAAATTAGCGGGGAATTTTTTCCGCTAAATTTAGCGGGAAATTTTCTTCCGCTAAATTTAGCGGGCAATATTTTTCGGTAAATTTAGCGGGAAATTTTTTTCGGTAAATTTAGCGAAAAATTTTGCTTTAAAATTTTAAAATTTTAAAATAAAATACGTGTCCCATCTAAGCTCCTTAACATTTTCTTTTTATTTCAGTGTCTCTAGCTGAACTACGAATCCAAGTCGACGAAGAACAAAACATCATCACCATTAGCACATCACGTGAGGAAGCTGCAAGAGCACTTTCCACGGTCACCCAAATTGACATCCAAGGAAAAAAGTATGGAATTAACCTTTACGGGCTCTCGCCACACGACTCCTGTAAAGGCGTCATTCATGAAATTCCAGCTCACCACACCTCAAAGGACATCCTCAAAAGCCTTTGGCTGCCAGGATACGAATTCATCGCATGTAGGAGACTCGGAAAGACCTAACTCTGTAGCAATCACGGTACTCGGAACGAAGGTACCGTTTTACATATATTACAGGGGAGCCGAAATTCGCTGCTACATTTACAAAAAAACGGTTCCATACTGCCACACGTGCCACAAGCTAGGACATCGCGCGGACGTGTGTCCCACCCCAACCGTGGTGACTTGTGACAAGTGCGGAACACAGAATCCCCAACAAGAACACTCATGCAATCCTGCATGTGCTTTGTGTCAAGGCAGCCACCTGACTGCTTCTAAGGACTGCAAGCAACGGTACAAAGAGCCCTGCATTCTCAGAAAAAAGAAATGGGAGAAAGAGAACAATCAACAACAGTACGAAGATACCACCCGAAGACCTAGGAGCAGAGGGAGACACGACGACGACCACTACAGGCCCCGTTCCAGATCCCAATCTTTCCCGCGCCTCCGCGGCGGCACTAGCCGGAGCCACTCGAGGCCCAGGGTGTCTGTGGATCGGAGGGACTGCGACTCGGGCCGGGCTCGCTCGGGACCCGGTGCATCTGCGGACCGGGACGTCAGAGCAGAAAACTACGCAGAATGCACTGTCAACCAGGTGAACTGGGCTGAAGTTCTTTCCTCCAGTGCTCCACTCCCCAACGCACCTTGTAGGGAATGTCAGGCACTGCAACAGGAAATTAAGACATTACGAAGCGAACTACAAGCCATAAAGACTTTACTGACAGCACCAAACTCCAAGCCCAGAAAGACCGGAAACACCAGCCAATGAGAAAAAACGGAAACTGCAGTCAATTTCCACAGAGGATGTACCCTCTCCAAGCCCAAACGCACAAGGGAGGTCTCAATACGTAACCAAAGTCGAGCTCCAACAAACTCTAAGTCTCTTTGCTAGCCAAATGAACGAGCAATTCGCCAGCCTAACTGCACAACTCACACAAATTTCCACGCAGCAACAACAGACTTTCACAATATTACAGGTCCGAATGGACAAAATTGAAACTAGCCAACAGACAACAATCCCCGGTCGCCTAAGCAGGAATGAGAAACCTTACCAGCGCACTGAACTAGTTCCAGTAATTCAAGACATAGAACATGCAGCTAGCAATGACTAAACCAACTCAGCAATGCTTAGATACGCTCCGCATCTGGCAATGGAATTGCAGAGGATACAAACATAAACAAGGAACCTTACAACAATACATCACCTCAATCGACCAACGGCCACATATTATCACCCTCCAAGAAACTAACGCCTTAGCTAGATTGCCCGGCTATACTACACATACAACACACGAAGGACGCGACGTCTGCACCTTAATCAGGAAAGACATCGTTGCGATTCAACATACTCTCCCAGCATCCGAGCACGACCACATCTTTACAGAGTTGGTTCCCCCCAAAACCTCTAAAGGCCACAACTGTTTTATACTCAATATCTACTGCCGCCCGAAAAACCGACACAGTGAACTGGCCACACTGCTCCACCAGGCCACAAAAAAAGCGGGGGCCAGTCGCCTCCTCATTGCAGGCGACTTTAATGCAGCACACCCTGCCTGGGGGTACCCCTACTATAACAAACGGAGCAAAGAACTAATGGAATGCATCGACAACGAAACGCTCACGCTCCTCATCGACCCGGCCAAACCAACCAGAGAGGAAACAGCGTTTCGCGAGACACCTGCCCCGACCTCACTCTTGCCAAGAATGCCCCCCACACTTCATGGATGAACTTGGAAGAAAACTTTTCGAGCGACCACATGCTCGTCGAGACCGAAATACAAGGGACCACCTATCGAAGGCAACTTGGCGAAGCCCGAATCACAGATTGGCAAACTTTAAGGAAAAACCGGGAAACCGCTCCAGATGATCCCATCATGAATATAGAGCTCTGGGTAAAAGAACTGAGCCGTGATGTCCAACGCCACACTAGAACTCTTCAAACCACAACGCAAATCCCGGCCATAGACAATTATCTTCTACACCTGTGGGAAGCCCGGCGCAGCCTCACGAAGAGGTGGAGAAAACAAAAGCTCAACCGTAAACTGAAACTCAGAATAACCAAATTAGCTGCAGAGGCAGATGTGTATGCAGCGGTACTCTGCCGACAAAACTGGCTTGGCCAATGCGATGACCTCAGAGGCACTCTGAGCCTTACAAAAACCTGGAACCTGCTCAGGTACCTAATAGACCCGATGCAAAGCAGAGGAGAAACCAACAAAACCCTCTAAAGGATACTACACCAATATCCAGGCACTACAGAAGATCTCTTCAAAGTCCTTCAAGCCAAATACATAGCCAGCACACAACCCCTCCAGCCAACACCCTACACCGGCCCACATAACTTACCGCTGGACCAGCCTTTCATTGAGGCAGAGTTCAGAGCAGCGTTAACAAAAATTAGGAAAAACACTTCCCCGGGCATGGATCAAATCACCAACAGCGCCCTTGCGAACCTTGACGACAAACCAGTCACTTTGCTCACGGCATACATGAATCAATGCTGGGAAAAGGGCAGCATACCTCCAGCGTAGAAAGCAGCAGAGATCAGACTGATCCCCAAGCCTGGCAAGGAGCCAAGCATAGAGAACCTCAGACCGATCTCTCTTACCTCTTGCGTCGGCAAACTGATGGAACATATGGTCCTAAACAGACTCCAAAATTACTTAGAGGATTCCCAACTCATGCCGCACACAATGTTTGGATTCCGTCCTCACCTCTCAACACAAGACATACTACTTCAGCTGAGAGAGGACATCCTTAGCCAATCCAGCAAGCACACACCGAAGGCCATCCTTGCCCTCGACCTCAAGGGTGCTTTCGACAACGTTAACCACGAAACAATCCTCCAGAATCTTAATAACCTTGGATGTGGAGAACGGATGTATTCATATATCCGTGACTTCCTCACAGATCGAACAGCGGTCATCAAGATTGAAGATAAAAGATCACAGCCCATCAACATTGGAAGCAAAGGAATGCCACAGGAAGCAGTACTCTCTCCGCTTCTCTTTAACATAGCCCTTATCAACCTCCCAAAAGAGCTGAATCAAATACCGGGACTGCACCATGGACTCTACGCGGATGACATTACAATTTGGATAAGAGAGGGATCTGAGGGAGAGATGCAAGACAAACTACAACAGGCCACCGACATCGTCCGAACATACGCCGAGAGCTGCGGACTGAAGTGCGCACCACAGAAGTCGGAACTTCTTCTTGTGCGGAAAAGGTCCCACCTTAAAAACACCGCTGCATCCATCGAGATAGAACTGGACGGGGTCTGCATCAGGCCCTCCCCCTCCATCAAAGTTCTAGGCATGACCTCACAGGAAGACTGCAGCAACAACCAAATGGTACGAAAACTAGATACCACAGTGGGTCAGATCACTCACATGATAAGGCGCATCACTAACAAGAAGCACGGAATGAAAGAACAAGATACTTTACGCCTCGTGCAAGCCTTTGTCATTTCCAGGATAACTTATGCCACACCGTACGCGACGCTCAAGTCATGCGAACACAAGAAATTAGACGTGCTAATCAGGAAATCATACAAACAAGCATTAGGCCTACCGCCCAACACATCCAACGAGAAGCTGCTAGCCCTGGGACTACACAACACCTTGGACGAACTCATAGAAGCCCATCTCACGTCCCAACAACAAAGGCTTGCAATCACCCAAACCGGTCGCAAACTCCTACATCACCTTGGGTACCCGCCCCGGCAACCCGAAACCTCCACAGAAGATATCCCCAAGGAAATTAGAAGAAACATGGAAGTAGCCCCAATCCCTCGCAACATGCACCCAGAACATCATGAGGCACGGAGAACAGCCAGAGTTCGATGGCTGGAGAAAATATACGGCCAAAATGACGAAACACTCTACACTGACGCGGCCGACTATGCTCAGGGACCCGCTATGACAGCGGTTGTCACTAACTCCTCGAAGATCCTCACAAGCCTCAGACTTAGACAGGCTACTACGCTACATGCGGAAGAGGTGGCCATCGCTCTCGCTGTCGCCCAAACCCCAGCCACAACAATTATCACAGATTCACAATCTGCCTGCAGAACCTACGCGAACGGAAGAATCTCTAGAACCGCCTTGAAAATTCTACTTTAAGCACCCCCCACAAGAACCGTGACTATCGTTTGGACACCTGCGCACTCGACCCTCCGTGGAAACCTCGCTGCTCATGCGAGCGCCCGAGAACTAGCCGGCCGGGCTCCACAAGAGGACCAGAAGTGGGTCAGCCAACCACTTGGCAACATTCAGAGACATCACACAACACTATAAACTTTCCCGGCTTACCTACCCGCCGAGCCACAAATCAACTACGAAAGAACAAGAAACAATGCTCAGGCAATTACAGACTAACACCTTTCCCCACCCTACAAGACTCCACGCCATTTTCCCAAACCTACACAAACCAAACTGTCCCCATTGTAACGAACCATCCACACTCTACCACATGATCTGGGCCTGTCAACGCAATAAGGATATCACAGCAATACCCCATCCAACCATCGAGCAGTGGGAGGAAGAGCTGTGCAGCTCTGACCCGGACCGACAGCTACGGCTGATCGAGAGGGCTAGGACGGCAGCGAGGTCCATTGGAGTCCTGGACTGAGGATTCCACTCACGGCGCTCAATTTTTTTTCCTTATTGAATAAAGTTTTTCCTCCTCCTCCTCCTCAGTGTCTCTTTAAGGTTGCTCATGTTGCTAAGTATTTAACTTTGTTGTGCCCGAAGACAAAGAAATACATAAGGTTGGGTTCGATTTGAATAGCGCAGCGCCATCTGAGCTTGAACACCGCAAAGAGGTCCGGCCTATCCTTGGCACTGTGAAAGACATGATTAACGCAGCGATATTCCACTCGAACCACTATTCCCCGATTACGAGACGGAATGTCCAACGAGCCTGAATGTCCAACGAGACGAAAGATCCAATAATGGATATTCAGGCACGTTGGACATTCAGGCTCGTTGGACATTCCGCCTCAGATGGATCTTCCGTCTCGTTGGACATTCAGGCTCGTTGGACATTCCGTCTCGGTTGGATCTTTCGTCTCGATGGACATTCAGGCTCGTTGGACATTCCGTCTCGGTTGGATCTTTCGTCTCGTTGGACATTCAAGCACGTTGGACATTCCGTCTCGCCTGTCACGTGCTAGAATAATTTGCCCTCTTAAATGTACAGACTTGTGTGTATATTTAGTGCGCGTCCCTGCAGGCATTGCCGTTGTTACATCATACTAAAATGTCGTGCCACAAAAGCCGACGTTGACGGACCGACAAAGAAACAGAGCAGACACAAATATTATAATTTCATCTATAGGAAGGCTTGATGGTTAGTTAGCTGAGTGCCGATGCGCAGCTATGTACCAATCGGTTAAAGGTGTCGATATTACGACGCCAAACGCTCCTTTGATATTAACAGTTCAAATGTTTGGAATATTCCGATGACATAGATCAGCCAATTTGAAATATATAATAGAAATGCAATGTACGGGTGTTCTAGTGGATCGCAATTGGGGGACGTCTATAAAAGCCGCGCTTCAGATCCCAGGAATTTCTAGTTCAGTCCTCACCCCTGCCCGTTTCGATCTATAGATGAGCTACATACGGAGATCCGCATTGCAAACACACGACCGCCCGCCAGCGCCACTGACTATGTGCAGAGTCAATATTTAATTTTTTTTTTAAAGGAGCTTTGGGAGCTGTGGGTGCGAGGCATCAAGGGTTTCCACAAGCGTAATTTCCCACTGATAAAAAAATATAGATATATATTTTTTAAAAATAAAATCTACATCTAACGCGCCTGTAAATGCATGGGGGCGGTGGCTGGTGTGACCCGACAATTCCTGAGTAAATGCGGAACAATTGTGTGAGAGAAATTTTTATTTTTGTTCGTTTATCTTTGGAACAGACAACTACTTACTGTACACTTCAGTCGTCAGTAGTTTACATACGCATCCATTCCCTACCAATAGGTTTGTATGTCAGTGAGTAGAGCGATAATACTAGTATCACACAGTACGGAACTTCTGTTTCCTTTTTTTTTTTGTTTGCATGTGACATGCATAGTGCTTTTCAGAAGCCCATGTCTGGAAGCACTCCAAAGCTCGCCATTCTGTCAAGGTAGTTCATGACGTCTTGGTAGGTGGGAAGCGAACGCATCTATCTCGGCGTGCAGCAGAAGGTTCGCACCCGGATGTACTAATAGCCTGCATCATGTGTGAATATAACAATAGATCGTTCCACGTGGCTTTCTACTCTTGCAGCGTAAGCGTATTGCACCACGAATCCGGTCGCTTCGTCGAAATTTCATTGGTCTCTGGACAACTGGAAGGACAATTCGTCCCGATTCGCAGAGTGAAGAATGGGGCGAAAGTCCCCGTTTGTCGAACTGTCGAAAAGAGTTGATTAGGGTTGGGTGTGTAGATTGCCGGTGACAGTGGGGGTCAACAGTGAGACCTTCTTTTCAAAAAAAAGAGGATGACAAATACAGCTCTCAGAATTGGCAATGGTCCGATAGTGAATCGTACCCAAATTATTCAAAATTATAAAAGTCGGGTTCTTCATGAATATGTTCACTCGCAACTCTAGCATTATGGAGTTTGGGAAGACCGAGCAAGGCGCTGACTTCCTGATCCCGTGGTCATATGTGCACTTGTAATGTGCGCATATGAATAAATAACGGTCGCACTCTCGCAGCGGCTCTGTGACAGAGTTAGAACCAGTTGAAATCTGATCGCAGCCTAGGTATGCTACCTGGGGGCGTATCGGTGCGATTGCTGCATGCCACGTGACCAGGAAAGGCAGAAACGACGGAAGCCAACCCTAAAAAAGTATTGTATTAATTATTAATATTACCTACTTCTTGCTTAATACATGGTTCACTGCGACAGCAATCGCTTTGGTGGCCGCAGCATGCGAAACTAATCGTCGCGATAAGCGTCAATGTGCCGAATCCTCCGCACAATCACCGGACAAAAGCTCACCAATTGAGGAGATTAGCTGCACAAAGGCTTAATGGAAGGAACGTTGTATTCTATCACTGATTTTGATATGAGGATCGAATTTTTGTTTCTGGGGACCAAGAAGTCCAGTTAGAAATGTCTAAAACTTTCACGTTCGTTCTGTAAATAGAAGAAAACAAAAACTACAATTTAGAGTAATTACAGATACTACACCGACTTCACCTAATAATAATTATAATACTAAAAATTCAATCAGGCGCTTTTCTCCCATGCGAGGGACATCATCTTCGCGGGACTAGGGACACGAATGAGAAAAATACAGCAACTCGTACAATACGGAAAAACGCGGTGGCTGAGGAACATTTGTTTCCGCTCCAGAGGTACGACCTTCTAAAATCAAACGCGTGACAGGTTGTCAATGGTCAACCAATGAGTTC